ACTGCTTAATGGTACCACTGGTAATGGAAGCCATACAAATATACCGTGATGTGGCAGGTACTCCACCTAACTGCAATGCTTGCCGGATAAGATTCCTGCTACCAACGAAATCCTTTCCCATAATAGAGAAGTATTTCTTTACTTGGGGTAAAATGAATTAATACAAGCAATGAGTTAAAAACTGAGAGGTCAAGTAGAGTACAACAAAAATGCCCGTTGCTTTATCTTCAACTATCTTATGCAAACACTGTAATATGATCGCGAGATAACTTTCTAGATCTCTCAGCCAAGAAATAAATTGTTAACATTTTTTATTAACTCTTGGAGCAAATAAGTCAATATCGTGCCTATTAAATTGACGGGTTATTTTTTGAAATGACTCGTTATTTAACTCCCACTAGGTTTCAGTTTCCAACTGCCTAGATTCCTTGTTTGCATCAATATTATCCTGAGATTTAATGTACGATGCTAATACAAAACATTTCCTTGCTAATGAGTTAAGTATAGGATAACGAACGGAACCCATTCGATTAATGCATGTTATTCCCGTAGTGATATCGATCCGGCATAAAATATTACAATTTTATAGCAAAAAATCCAGCCAGGAATTCTAGATAGTTTATATGTTCCTGCATTTCGTCCTTGTTCCAGAAACCATGGGCCTATTTTTCCTCACAGTAACTGCCCAAAAATACTCAATTTAAAGTCTTTTGAGGGAAAATGATTAAAAGGTTTTTTTTATGTATTTAATCCCACCAAAGAAAATATTTTGATAACTCACAGGAAATATTCATAGTGGAGTCAAAGTCTCCCCGAGAATTTATAAGCGAAATTGCTTTTACTCGTTCAATTTTTTTTTGTGTATAACCATCCGTACATAACTGCTGGGCAAACCGAGGTCAAAACACCAATAAAGTGGGCAAATTTCCTGATTCTGCATTTTTTACGTTCTAAATATTTTGTAGCAAGCTTGATAAATTTTTGTTTTTTAATCTCCGTTAAAGAAATTGTCATATTAACTTAGTTATAGGTAAAACCTAAAGTTGAAACCTACTGAGGGCTATAAGTGCTTTTAGAAAAGTTTATAATAAACTCGAAAAATTCCAACAATGTAAGTTTCCTGCATATTATGTTCACTTAAAAAACTTAAGATAGGTTACATTAGTTTTGTAAAAATTAGAGGAGCACAATTTAACCCGAATGTTCAGGAAAATTCATATAGTGAATTACTATACCGGAACCGTAGGTTTTCCTATGTGCCTTGTTAACAGACAATAAAAAATAGACATCTTTAAGATCTAGTGTTGCCATGACACAATGTATATTTAATAGTTTTATAGCAATTTTATGATCCTCGATTTTAAAATGGTCAGCATTTATATATTTATTAAGGTGTTTGAGATTTAATATAAACCTCTGTGAACCGTCTGGTTTTGGAGTAAGGAATATTTTCGATATAAATTGTTCTTTACAAGATTTCACTTAACCTGTCCTCTAGATCCTTTCCAAACAGCCATTCATCGCTTGGCGCTAAGTACCCTATAGACTTTTTTTGGGATTCAGGGCTACGAGCTCTCTACGCCAAAGCGTCTCTTGGTGAAATAAATCGGTTAACAACAGCCCAGCTTCGCCTAGTTGCTGAATGGTGGACTCAAGTTAGATGTCTGAATAACATTCTTTCCAAAAAGTTGTCTGAGGTCACTATCGGATTCAGATCTTTGAGGGCCAGTGATCAATAATGTCTGGTCACAAATTACATCTTCCTATATCAGCTAACAGAGGGAGCAACAAAATCTCGCTCTGTATGATAATCGCGCCGTAGAAGCTTTGCCAACGATGCTAGAGAGGTCTAGTCCTCGGAACCCTCATCGTCGTTGAAACTGCTTACAATGGAGGCGGCTGGGACCATTACACTCAACATTTTTGAAATTTGGGAACATCATCGTGCCTTTAATCGAAAAGTTGATCAACATCACCGTGAGCCCGTTTAGCGGATTTAGCAACATCGTCGTGCCGTCGAGCACGCTTATCAGATTTGCCTCCATCTTTCTGCACCTGCGCCGCTTCTAAATCTTCCAGTTCTTTACATAGAGAAATTATTTTTAAATTAACATTTTAATCCTCTTCCTCACTGCAATTCCTTTTGCGTTTAGTTAAACCTTTTGGCATTCTGATGCTTACTTTGGCACCGAACAACACAGAAAAAACACTATACGTTCGTAACTAGGATGACGGGCCGATGGTACCGGAGTGCAGGGAACAAAAAAAAATCGATATCTTTAAAATACGTATAGTTTGGACCCAAAGTGGAAGGTACTACAGTATACTTAACTATGAAGACGAGGCGTAATATAATATTTGTTTTCTCCCTTAATCTTCTAGATGACGTCAGGTTAATTCGCAATATATATATATATATATATATATATATATATATATATATATATATATATATATATATATATATATATATATATATATATATATATATATATATATATATATATATATATATATATATATATATATATATATATATATATATATATATATATATATATATATATATATATATATATATATATATATATAATATACCTTTTCTCTTGCAACTCCCTACGATCCAGGCGTTTCCTCTGATGCTGATTAGTGCAATAAGCTCTTCAGATATGAGCGGTGGCGAAGAAAAGACTGATGATGGAGCAATGAACATAGAGAAGAAAAAAGGTAAGAAAAGACTAAGAAACCGTGAGGAAAGGCAAGTGATTAAAATTAAGAAATTTAGGAATTCTGCTCGCGCAAGAAGATTCCGCCCGACATGTGATGAAAAATGTTGATTCCGTTGTGAGCTAGAAGTAAATGAAGAAATGAGGAACAAAAATCATAATTACTGGGCCTTGACGGATTTGGAAAGACAAATTGGTCACTGCGAAGAAATAAAATCAAAATATCGTTACTCAAATACTCAAAATTATAGGCGAATGAATTCAGCTTTTTATTTTGATTTTGACAATAATCGAATTAGGGTATGTAAATCATATTCTAAAGTAGCTTTGAATATTAATGATAGACCCACTCATACGAAAAAAAAAATGAAACCCAGCAGTTGCATCGGAAATAAAAGACAGCGTAGAGGTTTATTAATTCGATACCAAAACCAGAGTCCCATTATTTAAGACCGCAAACACATTGACATTGACAGTGGCAAAAGTTTATCCGATTTACATAGGGATTATAAGGACTAACGGTGGCGAAAAAACCTACCCTTTGCAAATATGTTCAATCGGATATTAATACCGAATTTAATATTTCCTTTTTCGTACCTATGTGAAGCTTTTAAAACTCCAGATAAAGAGGAAAAACAAAAGTTAAAAAAAAGTTAATTGATGCCTACCATTTACAATTAAAAGAAAAACTTAAAATATGTTAATATTTTAATGATGCCTTTTTATTAAAAAAATGTAGCAGGGTTTTCCTTTTTTTTTTAAATGCTCTCCCGAACATTTAAGTGGCGCAGTCGGAACGGATTTCTGCAGTAGTGGTGGACAATTAACCAGAATTTCCTGGGAGTTTCTGTGAAATCACCAATCGTGGAAAGTTCGAAACTTTGGGTTTTCAAATCTTTCAGCAGACAGAACCATCATGAGGGGAATCAGAACGACTGTCGATACAAAAGTGTAATCCGAATGTGACGAGTTGAAAAATTGACCCGGAAAGGAGAAGGAAAAATACGAAACCGTAAGTGCCATTTTTTTTGCCCATCCGATACCTCTGTATAAGGTCACTTGAAAGGATAGTTTAAAACTTGCGATTAGGTAGAAAAATCGATCAAGCGGTTCTGAAATCGAAAATCACGAAAAAGAATTCAATTCAATTTTAAAATTGGGAAAAAAACAAACAAGTAAAAACCATAACCCAACAAGGAAGCTCAGGTAGTACTAGTAGCGCGGAACTAGATTTAATTGGAACCGTTTTAAATCCAGGGTGGACAACATAAAACCTTACAAAGAAAGTAGTGACACGCTAAATAAATTTAATGCTAAGTGCGAAAGAATAATAAATTCCTATGTTAGTCTGGGAGATACGGAACTGAATAGCCATATCTTCGATTGTATCATAGACAAAAAAAAAGCAGAGTTAATGGTAGTAAATAAAGCCGATTGATTAAGCATAAGTGAGGCGCTTATCCAATGCCTTGCAAATAGGAAAAATTGTCTAATTAGCTATAACAAGACTGTTCAAAAAGAACATTTAGCAGATTTCCGTGGTAGGCTACAACTTTTAAAGAGTAGTGTAATACAGCGGATGAGTAATTCAGAAGGTTTAGACCAAAACGAAAAACTTTTCCATGCGAACTATTACAACAAAATTGCCCTCAATTCATTGATAGGTGGATGCACTGCACTGGGTCGCTTAAAAATAACATGCATTTAAAACAACCAGATTCTTTCAGAAAATCAATGATCATATTATATACAGTAAAAAACTATAATAAAACTATTGCGAAATTAAATGAAAACCAACGAAAACTACAAACAAAATATTCCATATTGGTGACCATAAATTCTTTACAAAACTATTTTCGTTTTCACGAGATTATAAAGCAATTAAACTTAGATTGCAAATGTTTGCAAAAGTCAATGCATTTCATAATCGTATTTTACCGACTTCGGCATCTATTTAGCATCAATTTATAAAGAAAATCAAATAAGTTTGCTGTACTTCTCTGCCACAAAGAATGAGATAGATTAAAAACAATCAAAAACTTTTAAAAAACCTACCGCAGCCTGGGAAATAAAAGTACTCAAGCTTTGGTAATGTTTTTAACATGATTTCATCTTTTGTATTTTGTACAAAATACCTTTCAAGAGAGTTCTGATATTTGTTTTTGAAACTACCAAAAAATATTCCATTGTTCAACATTCAACAAGTACTCGTTCCATTGCAGGACGTTTAAGAAACGGCATCGAAAAATGTGATAATTAGATCCCACTTCTTACCTTTGAAGGGTGAGGTGAATCGGCGAACCTCCGAGCCGCCACCAGGAATATATCAGGGGCGGGCTTGCCATTTGCAACGTCCGGATCCGAACTGCCGCACACTATATGCTGAAACATTTTAAAAACGTGTTGGTGGTCTTTGGTTTTGAGATCCACGGCGGTTTGGGACGAGGAGGTGGCTACAGCCATGGGCACGTCGTTTTTGTAGAGGTGTTTGATGAGTTCCTGGACTCCGGGCATCAATTTCGGGTGGAGCTGACCCTGTCGCACTTTTTCCCGGTAAATTTTCAAAAACTCCTCGTTGGTTACCGGTAAGTCCATCTCCCTTATAGCGACGATCGCCGTGTCCCGTTCGGTAAGGCCCAGCATCTTCAATTTAACTTCGAGAGTGAAGTCCTTACCGAACTGTTCAGCTATGCTTCCTATTATCTGATCGTAAACGGATTCGGAATCTGAAATAGACTGAAGTAAGGATAATTATTTATAAAACGATAGGTAACAAACCTGAAGAAGGTATATATAATAATAATAATAATAATAATAATAACAATAAATAATAATAATAATAATAATAATAAATAATAATAAATAATAATGACTTTATTTTTCTTATTGCAGGCAATACATACAGAGTGTCCAAATAGAGTGTCAAAGTAATATATCTCATTTATTATTTGTTTTAGGAAAAAACGTTAAATACAATAGTTATAGATATATATAGATAGATATAGGGTGATCCATAAATATGTGTGAAACCAAACTTATATCTTTTAACTAGAACATTATCTTATCGCATTAATAAATACTTCTTTTTATACTTAATCGCCCAATGTGGGGTTGTTATGTTCTATACCGAATGTTTTCGGTTTTATATCCTTTTTGTCGTCCAAAATGCCCTGTGTTTAACACTTTATATTTTTAACGCCATTTTCGACAGCTGTGATGCCAACAATGTTATATATTTTTCTTGTACTTGTCTATATATACATTAAAAATATATGTACGAGTTTAATTTTCCACATATTTATGCATTACCCTGTATATTTCAATTTTAAATTATTTAGTCTCATCCATAACATTGTTCTCTAAAATAAATAATAAACAAGATATACTATATTGACACACTATTGGGACACCCTGTATAAAAAAGTGTAATTGGAGTCTCATGACCTAGCTTGCTACTAGCTACTACATCTACTAGCCACTAATATCTACTTACTCAGATAGGATCAGACAAAAACAAGACAGCAATCAAAATTTTCAAAACAAAAAAAATATATCCATAACATTCCCATTAGGAAAATAAGTAGCGATAAGAAATGTTAGAAGAAAGATATAAAAAGTAGAACAAGCAACAACAGTACGACCCTAGTAGTGCATGAAACGAATGCACATCAACAGAGAAATGTTATGAAAGCCGCGTCCAAAATTATTCAAAGATACACAGAAAACATACAGTTTTACAAAGCAGATCTAACCAATGCTCGAGCTGTGGGGAATAGAGTTGAAATATTTTACTGCATTGTAACTAAACGATCTCTGAAACATGGTAATCCAGCGCCAGTTAGAAAATCCCTATGCCCCGTGGCCCTATGATTAGATACTAACTAAATTCAAGAGCTCTGTGAAAGGCTGATTTTGAAAACAAGCCTGCATCCACAACAAAATCTTATGTAGCTGTTTTGCATTTCGTAGCAAGAACTATACCACGTTCCTTAATGCGAGATAGTAATAAAATATAAATTTGCAAAGACATTCCAAATACGAACATTATAGATATATAGTTAATGATGAGTTAAAGACACGCGATTCGCACATGAACTGAATTATTACATAACATTTACTTTGAAAACAAATACTAATTAGTTTAGAGATAACATTTTTGAATCTGGGTTACAAACTTTTGCACTGTGTAACAATTTTTATCACAGAATTGTAAAAATTATGCGAAGTTAAAAACTGCCTTGCTGCAATTTTCAGAGCTCCTTGTAACCAGAACACACAAAACATTTAAAAAGCGTTAATTTTCCTCATTTTTACTAAACCTTACATTTAATTGTTTTTCTATTTTCACCATCGCAATCAGTGGAAAAACTGGAGCTAATTTGCTAATTTAACCAACTTTGTATCTCTACTAATAACACAGTGAATGATGTATACTCGTGTCTGAAATGCGGTTTACAACACTCGTTGCATAATATACTAAGCGACAAATCCCAGAAGTCAAGAGTATCTAAGTCAAGTCACACAATTCATTTGCAGCAGCACTAGGTATTAAGTTCTCTATTATAAATAAATAAATAAATATATAAATAAATAACTAAAAGGTAAGTTTCGATGGCGCGTAAGAAAATAGTGAATTATCTGGTTTAGTAATAAATATTGGCTTGTTCACTGTACAGATAATGTTAATGTTGTAAAAAAAATAAAATTGTTTAGTGGTAATTGGTCACGTTTGTGCAAAGTGTTCAAAAAGTGTTAATTATTGTTAAAAGTTTAGAAATAAATGATTTATTGTACCGGGTGTCCCAGTATGGGTACGGTATTAGAGAAACGAACAGTCAGGATGATTGGCGAAACGTCAGCAGGAGGAATCCAGAAGTTTTTTAAATAGTATTAGAGTAGTGGGAATTTATTTAAATAATTAAGATATTATTTAAGATCAAAATGGAATGTTATTATTCATCTTTATTACTTTTTTTACAATGCTTTCGAAGGGGACCAAATTACGCCGTTCCTGAAATTTTGACATTTTGATATGCTTTTTTCGAAATATTTAGTATTAGCACTACCTTTATCATTTTTAACCACTAACTTGATCACTTATCAATTGTTGGCCACTAATTTTATTAACTATTTACCATTAACCAAAACTGTTTACGTGTTTAAGTAGTAAAATGTGGAGAAAAATTATGAATAGTTTCCCAAAATCCCATTTTTATTCATATTTTAAGATAGAGTAGATATATTGAGATTCGATTTTCATTAGGAAAATTATTTTCTCTGGGTTTATTGCAAAAAAATGTTTGCTGGTCTATAACCGATCCTGTATTAAAAAAACTAAAACAACAGAAATTTTTCAGAAATACTAAAAGATTATCGAACTTTCATTTCCTTATTTTTTTGTTTACACAACGTTTGAGCCAGATGTATCGCTTCAAGCAAATGAAAATTTTCTGTCAAATATGATATTGATAGACTGAAAGATGATAATGGAACCCCTAAAAATTGAAGTCTTACCATTGTTTCATAGAGAAAACTGAAAAAATGTGCAATGTCACCTAAAAATACTTAAAGATTAAAAAAATATATTTCAATAAGTTGTGTGAGTTCAGTTTTGTTCAGGTTTTCTTTAAATTTTGGAGAAATAATTGTTAAAGTATATATTTGATTTAATGGCGTTCATAATTTTATAAGAAAATATAGCTTAATTTTCAGTTGTTGCAATTTCCTCGAAACGCGTGTCAGTAAGATTTACACTTCTTTAAATGGTAGTAACTTCTGCTGCACTTTCTTTACCTAGAACTAATAATGATTTTTCAAAGAAATTTCCCCAGGGTGATATTTACAAATCTTTTAACAAATCGAACTAGGTGACGCTTAGCAGATCATCCGGCTTCTTCAAAGTTTAATTGAAACAGGTTTGCATTCAGCTTTGTACCTGTTTATACATTATTCGAAGAGGCCGGAGCTAAAGGAATTAAAAAAACTCTCATCTCAAACAACAAATGAAATTCGATTTGAAACCGCAAAAATCATTACAAAATTCAAAACTCCCAAATGTAATATCCAAATCCATGGGTTCAGGCCCCAAAATCTTCTAAAACTCTTGTATATTAAAAACCTTCGCAGGTAAAACTTATAGTCTCATACTTAATATCTTTGACTTCATCGAACAACGACATTCTGATTAGTTTCGCCGTATAATTCCACTTTACTAAAGTCCCTATTAATTATGGAAACCCAACGCTGATGATACTCTTGTTTTCTTAGCCATTTAGACTCTACACGCCCTAACATACGTTTTACTGTTGTTTTTGTTGTTTTATTAATAGAAAATCAGACCTAAAATTGGGTCATATTCTATCTCAACCCGAGCCGCTCAACCTAGAATTAAGACACTTTACATCTGCTCTTCTCTCTAATGATTGCCACAGTAGAGATATTAAGTGATTATTAGTAACAATTTCGTTCCAAATAATTTAGAGATTATATTGAAGTAGTGAAATTATAAAATTAATACGTAATGACTTGGAGTAATAAATAATAATAACAATATAAATAATTTATATGTAGTGATGGAAACTTAAAAGTCGCCTTGAAAGTAATAATTATGTAACAAGTAATTTTTTTAAGTTCCCATCCCAGTTACGGCAACTTTGATGCTGCTTGAGATGCGTAAGCCTCTTTAAAGATATGACCACTTATTGAAATTGAACAACGTCCACCGCTTTCCTTACTGACATAGAGCACACGGGATTAAAAAAAAAGATATACAAATTCATCTCGGCTTTAAAATAGTACAGGAACACGAGTTTTAGAATAAAACAATTACGACATTGACTGAAATTCTAATTTTCGTTCTCCGTTTCCCTTACTGGGGTACCAGTTATTTCGCACACGTTGCCATGGTAACGTTAGATACTATCAATGCGAGAATCTCGTCATTTTTCACGTTTGTAGAAAAACATATTTCTAGCTTATCTGATCAATAATTCCATCGAAATGCACATTTGAAAACAAAGCGGTACATACGATAACACATTTTTTAATATTATTTCACGTATAATACGACATTAATCGATAACGTGCGTGATACACTTTATACGCAAACATAGTCGGTATCAACCTTGAACGGAAAACGAAAAATTATTAATAGAATACGTGACGCAAGAAAAGCGATTTTCTTTGCATGCCCGCTCAGTTTCGGATTTCGATATATCTAACTTTTAAAGAAATTATAGGAAACGCAATTTCTGCATGGGATACTAGTGTTACACTGGCAATAAATTACTAAAGTAACTCAAACGTACGGGCTTTACACTGGGAACGAGCATCATCAATTTATTTGACATCTCAAATTGAAGTTTAACCAACTTATTCTATCGGAACAATGTTTATTCATAATGGTTCTTATTTAGTTAAAATGTTTCGGAAAAATAAAAATTATACAAGCATTAAAATCATTGCTGCTAATAATTTTTCGTTACCTGCGATATAACACTGCTATATAAGGATGGGATAGCATGGAGATATCGGAAACCATGGGAGATACAGAGATAAATTAGGAAAGTTTTAAGAAATTTTATGAGAAACCTACTTCTGCGGACAAAATTATTTCAGCCTAAGAAATGTAAGTAATTTGAGAAAATACAAACAGATCGATTTTCTATTTTTGTTTGAGACGCTCAAAATACACCATGACCTTGGAATTAGTTCATTATTAAAACAC